TACTTTGCTTTAACCCAAACTAGGATCACAAATATTACTGCTAGCCAGCTAGCCTTAAGCATTAGCTGATAAGCTCCATCCATCCAGTCATCTGGATATGTCAAACAACAAAATCTAAATCAGATATTTAAAGCTTTAAACCCAGTGGAAGAGCATTTCATTATTATTTAAAGTCTCACTTTTATCACTTGTTCATGCAGACATGGCCATCCTTGAATAAGCCAAATATGAATTTCGTTTTTTCATGTAATCCTAACCTGATAAAGGACATGCTGTTGCACTTCTGAGGTTATACATTGTAGGACATAACAGAGAGTCATCTGGTCTTGTTGCATGATCAGTTTCAGCCAAGCTTCAGCTGTCAGACAGATGCCCTCACATTTGATTCTAGAATACTTTGATATACAGAGGAAGTCATGGTCAATCACTGCAATGTGCCCAGGACCACAATCTTACCAAGAGTTGACATCCCAGCAAAAAAACACATCACATAACTGAATACTCCAGACCGGCAAACTGCCAACATTTCTGCTTTCAAAGAGGTGCTCATACTTGGGGAAGATCAGTTAAAGCAATTGTATTTGATTATCAGCACCTGGGTGCTAATTACCCTCCTAATTATGGAAGCAGTAGACTGTACTTAGTTTTTCACACACAGCTTCTCTATTTTGGCTTGAATTTCTGTTAAACAAATAAACATACAGTGTAATATTTATGTCATATTTCATGCTTTATCTGAACTTGTATTTATCTCATTTTAAAGACCTGGTAAGCATCACAACATTTCGATCATGTCTGGACATATAATAGCAAGAAAAAGAGGTCAGTTTTACTAAATTAGAAAATCCTCAGGCCCGAAATGAGACAATGCAGCAGTCAATTCAAGAAAAACAAGCTGAAGAGGCCAGCGTTACCAAACAAGTAGCTCTTAAGGGCCAAAGTCAGAATATGTCAGAGGAAAAGCCCCAAAAGGAAAATGAAAAGAAAAATAAGCAGATATTATAGTATGTTAGTTGTATATAAATTTGTCCTCAGCTCCATTCTGCAACCCATCAACTGGTTGCGGCAGATGGCCGCTCCTCTCTGAGCCTAGATCTGCTGGAGGTTTCTTCCTTTTTAAAGGAAGTTTTTTGTCCCCACTGTTGCCAAGTGCTTGCTCACAGGTTTTCTTTCTTCTTCTTTTAATCAGTTCAGTTTAATTAATTTGTATCTCAATACTGTTAAATTGAATTGAACTGAATTAAAGATGACTTTTAGGAGATGGAATTGAATGAATCAGGGAATTTTAACACCTTACCCATAAAAATGACCAAACAGCAAAATGAAAGCCTATTACATGCAGTCCAAGATTGGAAGAACATGCTTAAAAGAACCATATCTGACCGTTTGAGGAGGTTGGTGGAGGGGATGAGGCCAGCACATGCTGTGCTGCTGGGTAGTTTCTTTGCCTGCCACCAGAGGGCATCTGTCTGGTCCACAATCTCCAGGATGTCGCCTCTTCTGAAGCTCATGCCGGCATCGGCGCAAGGGATGGCCGGGTCCTGCTGAGGGCTGTAGTCAGTCATGGCCCGTACGTATAGCTAGCAAAGAGAAACACACAAAATAGGGGTGAATATTTTTTATGTGAACAGAGGCAATAATAATGGAGCTGTGGTAAAAGACTCACCATGGTCTGGTTGTGGACCGGCCTTTCTGTGATGGGAATGACTTTAAACATAATGGTGCCATGCGACCGAGCTTGCTGATTGGTTGTAAGAAAACAAAATGGAGCATGAACAGAACCAATGTTGGATGCAAACAATACACAACAGCAAGAGCACATTTTATTTGATGAACAAATGACCCACCACAACTTGGATAACTTGCTCAGGCTCCATCCCGTCCACAGGAAAACCGTTCACCTCTATGATCCGGTCCCCTGCATGGAGTAGACCTATGTACACACAAACACAAACATGCATTACAGGGAGTGCAGAATTATTAG